CTCTAATTAACTATATATGTTTAATTTTTTTATATGATATCGAAGATTGATCATACAATAGATGGTTTAACATGCCAAAAATATTATATGCTAAGTGAATATAATATGATCAAGTATTACAAGTACATCATTTAATAAAATAAATAATCAACAACCGGAAAATCATACCCGCGCTGGCGCGCGGGTCAAGGTCTAGTTTATTCTCTTAATTTAGGTATCTGGAATCTACGGTTTTCTCAGTCATCTACATGAAAATGTTACCTACCAGAGCTGATGATTCCCCAACCATGGGGCAGTTCTCCTTGCTGTTGATCTCCTCCCATAAGAGACTCTCCAAATAATAAGCCCTAATATAACCATCAAAGATCAAAATAGTAAATTTTAGACTTTGATGAAGAAGATAAATACATGTTCATACTTATATGAAAAAGACAAGAAATACTTGGGATCTGGCCCGTTGAATCTCTTGTTCTAGGTTGGTCAGCTTGATCCTACATGACTCAAGTTGCTGAACATAAGCCTGTCGTAATTTACCAAAGTAAATAACGTCATTAATTGTAAATATCATTCTTTTAATAAATAAAATATAATATGCGCAATTAATTTACAAATAATCATGAAGTGTAAATATGCTGACTTTTTTTCGTAGTCTGCTTTTCCTTGCTGCTTCTCTGTTTTGTGCTAGTCTTCTTAATGTCTAATAAAATAAAATTAATAATCATAACGAGAAGAAACTATCATATGTGATAAGTTGACAACACTCACCTTAGGGTCTGTTGATTTTGGTATGTCATGGTCCGATGAGGCATGACCCTTGTGGTTCCCTTCTTTCTGCCATAACATTTCAAAATGACTCGTTAACTTAAAAACGACTCAATATAGCAAGGCTTTCATTAAATTTTATTTCTATGTTAACAAGGCAAATAGATAATTTTTAAAATAATAAGAAGATAGAGACCTTGATTGATTTACAAGGTTGATGAATTTGAAACTGAGAATGATTGGTGATCAAGTCCATGGACGGCTCAGAAGATGGTCGAGTCGAACCACTAGGTGTAGCAGCCGGAACCAAACTTGTACTATGGGTCTTACCAAACACATTATAAACAAACAAACAAACAAACAAAAGAATCAAAATTAGTATATTCATTAGAAAAATGAGATATATAACATGATAATAAATGAAAAAGCTAGTAGTTGCGCTGACATTATATAAAAGTAGAAATAGAAACCAACCAAAACTGGGATATACAGATCAATATATAGTAATTATTAATACATTGGATGTAGAAGGAGGAGGTGGCTTTATGTGCATCGGCTGAGATGGGAAGATGTTGAGCGTCGATGTTGGAGGTCTCATCGCCAAATTCTCTGCCATATAAGATTCAAAGATATGAGTCATGTGACTTATGTGGAAATGTTCTCGTTATGTAATATATGTGAGCAGGCTAGTTAATTTGAAGTAAAATGAGAGAGAGAAAAAGGGTTTTGAAGTATAGGGATATGGTTTGAAAGATTTGATGTCTGAAGAGAGAAGATCTGGTCAAAGCTGAAAGTAGAGTACTGATGGCACAAGAAAGATTGGAACATGCTTTTGCTGTGACTCTTTCAGACAATCTTCCTAATCTGCTAAAACAAAAACCAAACCCCAACTCCCAAAAAGGAAAGGAGAGAGAGGGAGAGAGAGAGAGCATACGGGTTGTGTGATGATGAGTTAAAGGAGCAGTTGATGGATGATCATGATGTCCTTGTCCATCAAGATAGAAGAAGAGCGATGGGTCTATCTCTCCAAGATCATACCCATCTTTGTTCCTGAACACACACACACACACACACAAAAGCTCTTAATTAACTTGGGGATCACCAACTCCAAAGGTTTATGACAAGTTTAAAGACTCTTAAATATACATGAAGTTTCTATTGGAAAACGTGGGAGAGGCTGATGATAACTGTTGATGATGACCTTGCATTTGATGATGATGTTTAAGAGAGTGTGTGATAGTAACAGCAGAAAGATGATGATAGATCTCTTATGTTGGTCTTCTCCTGAGGCAGCAACCTTATGATGATGACGGTGGCTTTGATCACTAGATGATATCTTCTTTCTACATAACTATTATGTTCCTTTCTCTATATTCTTGGAAAGAGATAGAATATGTTATGGAGCATTTAAAGCTCCTTTTGGTGTTTTCAGAGAGAGAGGAAGGGGTTATAACTTGAAAGTGGAGAGGGTTTTTAAAACTTAAATATATTGGAGAAAATGGAGTTTGGAGAGGAGAAGCAAAAGACAATCTCCTTCGTTTTATATTTTTATGATATTTCTTTTGCTTCTTATTAGTAACTTGTGAAGTTTCTTGTACCTTTAAATATTTGAAGACGACTTTGATTTCGTGTAAACCCAAGAAAAATATTCTGCTAAAGCGGTCAAAAACTATGTCCTCTCCCATCCCTCTCTAGAAAAATGGCTGATAACAAATTAACTTGTATAAATATTGCTTGTTTGTTTTCTAAATTATTATTGTATCCTCTAATCGTTCAATTGTATTTTTTGGAATAATAGTTTAACTGTGGAAGTCTTTGATCCAGTGGTGTAACCAAAATTTCATTAATGTTTTTATATCAGATCTGAATTTCAATTTTCGAAAAAGACAAATTATACAAAATATTAGAAAAAAATTTACAATTTTTTTTAGCTTGACGTAGGAAATACCACCAGGAATAGATTTCATAGTACGATTTAAGGTGATGCAGTTAAATATGAAGCCTCATAATGCAAATAAATTTATCTACTGTAAAATGTTTCTCATGATTTATAATACCATAATTTATCAGAATTAAGAAAAAAGAATAATAGTATAACTATTATTTTTAAAATCCAATATATAGTTTAAATTCCATCAGGTACCATGAAATAAGTTTCTTGATGGTGGTTTTAACTTTCTAAACACTGAAAAATTCAGTGGTTGAACCAATAAACAAAGCAACCAATCAAAACCCACAAAAATAAATTCAATCCACCACGGACCGGGATTAAATTGGTACGGTTAGTTGAAAACCGGATTTTACAAAAATACAGAAACAAGACGATGTTCACAGTTTTCTTGATTTCAGTTTTACAAAGAATGGTTGGTGGATCGGAAGAGAATCCCGGCGGATTGGAGGAAGAAGCTGGCGGCGATCAAGGTCAAAATCTTAAAAGAGTTCTCTTCTTTTCCTAAAAACACGATCCTACTTTCAAACTCTTGATCCTGAAGTTTTGCTTATTAATTCACTTCACTTTAAAAAAAGTGTTAGTCGTTGTGTTTTGTAACCGCTAGAGATTAATGATTTTCATCTTTGTGAACATCATCTAAGCTTATGTAGAGTTGGTGACTGTGTCTGTTATTTTTGCTTTCCATATCTGAGGATGCAAGTAGCAAAAGGTTCAGCAACAAATGTTCGAACTTGATCGTAAAGAAACTGATATCAAAAGAAGCGTTGAACTCCAGCAAATAAGTAGGAGGATGCTTGCCGAGAGCTCTTGGATTGCAGGTTTACTTGTAAACTTTCGCTTAGCGTTTTCCAAACATCACATAAAGTTTAATTTCCAGGGAAACAATGTTGGAGACTGCTAATTCGCTTCCTAGTACCTATTCCAAGATTTTGGAAGTTATCAACAGTGCTCAGTATCAGCGGCAAAAGGAGTAGTCCTCTCTGCCTATGTTAAAGATGTTCATACTGAGGAAGATGTAACTTTATTCCCCTCTCTAAATGTTTTGATCCTTCTGTTCTTGAGACTGAACGGTCCAGCTTCTGATTCTGTCTGCAGAAGCCTTCGAGGGCTGTCCTAGAAAATTTGAAAGATATTCGTGAAAATCCACCATCGTTATGTGTTTTGGGGTCCTCTGAAGCTCTTGACGGTGATAATATTCTGTCATCTGAGAATGCAAATGGGACTGATGTGATGTGGCTGCAGACGGCACACTTGATACTGCTGAGATAGATTGGGATGTTAGTATGGTAGAGGAGGTCGAAAGTGGAAATGATCTAGGTTCATCTGAGATTGTCAATGGCAGTGATCTAAAGTGGGAGAAAGCCAAGGCCATGAGGTTGATGTCTCTGAGATTTCTTGGGATGTAAGTGTGTTGAAACTCCTCAGGTAGAAGAAATAGCTGGTTCAGCTTTGGTAGAATCAGGCCTGGAGAATCAGACATTGTTTGGGAGATTCCACCACTCAAGTCTTAGGGAGTGGAGAAGAGAGGAGCCAGATGTTGGAGACAGAACATAGGAATAAGATCCTTGATGATTTGTATGAGGTACTCTTGTCTTATCCCTGACTATTTAATGCGTCTTGACTGCGTTTAGACATGTGATGTGGTTTTTCTTTGTGTCAGGTCAAGGCGTTTTCTGAACCAGCGTTTGATAGAATTAAGTAACGAAGATACTCTGTCCTTGCAACACCATGTGCAAGCAATTGCCCCCTTGGTTCTTCAGCAGTATTCTCATGAAATCATTGGGCCAATGGTGGTTGATATCTCCTTGTCCATCTCACTGCTAACAAACAAGAAATCTCGGGATCTGATAATAATTCTCAACTCCAAAAGGTGCTTCTAGTTAAATAGTTTCTGCTAGTGGATCAGAGCGAGGTCCATATCTTCTGTCTGCTATATATGTATAACTGTAGTACGGATTCCAAGATAGGCTTGTTTCAGAGCTGGAGGAGAAGAAACACCGGGAAGTGAAGTTAAGAGAAAGCTTGAAAGATGTGGGTAGAAGACGCATGGAGCTTCAGAACTCACTCTCTTCAATATGGCCAATACAGGTATACGCTGCTCTTCTCAAAAAGCATAGGTTTTTGTTTTACTTCTGAGGATTATGATTTGTCAGAAATTGAACTTAATAATTATGTTTATTGATTACAGGAAGCTGCACTTGTGAAAACAAGAGAACTAAAGGATCTATGTGTGACCAGTCTCTCTACTATATTTGACGGCAGACCTGTGAATATAAGAGGAGAGATCAATACTTTGTTAAACGCTGGGGTTTCTGCTTAGTGTTGATCTTTTGAATTTTCCTTGTACCTCGATGATAAAATCTGAGAACGAGCTCATGTGGAACCTTCAGGCTAAATGTGTTGAGGCTTGGCTAATTATAGTCAACAGTTTTAACTATATCCAAAATTGCTATTGAACTTGTGTAAACATACATAGCATATCTGCTCGTGGGGAAAACACAAAGTAAAGAGAGATTTGAAGTTACTGCTACACAAAATTGTCTTCATCTTGATGCATTTCTTCTTGTTCTATACTCACAGAGTAGCAGTTTTCTTCAGTTCCTCAAAATGCTTAGGACCATCCGGGTGACGGTTTACAAATCTCGTCACAAAGGACTTATCCGAGTACACAAGTATAGTACTTATCGCAAGCTTCGAAGCCGCCTTTCCACGGTCTTGAAGCCAATAATACATTGCAAATCTAAGCTTCATCCTCTCAAGTGTGTACTTAAGACACGAAGGAAAAGCCACCAAAGTCGAAAGCGGATAACCTAATTCATTCACAAGGTAGTTAACCTTTGCTTCTAACACATCACTCGCCTGTGTCAGAACATCAGGAGATGTCCTCACCATATCTTTAGCCTCCTTCTCATTCAAACCCAAACTCAAAAGGAAATCAAATCTCTCCCTGAGTTCAGACCCTCTCCCACGGAAACACCTCAGTGCTTTCTCCATCTCCTCTGAGTTCTCCTTATACCCCAACTCCAACAAAAACTGAGTCTTCATTGCTTTTGAACCAACTATGTCTACTACTCCAGTCCCTGGTAATGGCTGGACTCTTAACCCCATACTCCATTTCTTCATCTCCTCTGGATTCTCTTGAATAACTTGACACAGCCGCTTCTTCCCACCTTTCAAAGTGTTGAGAAATGTACTAGTGTGCTTCAAACGAGACACCCCAAGCCAATGAGAGTGACTACGGAAAATCTTACCAATCTCATAAGCCTCCATCTTAATACCTTCCAAAAACAATAAACAATGTCTGAGATTCGAAACACACTTCCGTAGCTCCTGACTCTCCGGAAGTCTCAGAAACAAAGAAGCTAACTCCTTTCTTGAACACCCTAGCTTTGTCTGAAACCCAGCTAAAACCAAAGTCCATTCCCCTGAGTCCTCAAAAACAAGCCCTGGCCGGTTCTTGATTAACTCACATAGCTCACTCTCATCAACACACAACTCTCTAAGAAAGCTTAAACACCTATAAACACATCTCCAATCATAAGATCCTTCCTCAGATAAATTCTCCTCCACCCAATCCAAACCAAACCCCATCCCTCTCAACATCTCTATAACCCTAACCACCTCTACATCCACACCCCCAATCAATATCCTTGGACTACAAACAATAAGCTTAGAAACAAAAAACTTACTAAACCCCAAACCCTCAAAACCCTGAATCTTTGAAACCAAAACCCCACTCTCATACCCAAACACCTCCCTAGCTTCCTTAAAAATCTTCCCCATCTTCTCCCTATCAATCCCATAGTTCCAAAACACATGATAATTCTCCAACAGAAACACATCTTCACTCAAAAACATCTTATCACAAGGCACAAGACGACTAAACTCAGACGGCTTCAACCCTAAACTCTCGAAGAAAGGCTCGAACTCGTTCACAGGGTGGTACAGGAGGAACCTGGTGATGGTTCTGACCACTTCCTCACCACAAGAAGCAGAGGCATAAGCGTCATTACTACTGTGTAGCTTCTTGAGGAGATTGTCGTTGAAGAGAGGAGCGTTTTGGCTCATGCTCTCGGCGATTAGGAACTGTAAGCCTCTGTTGTTGTAGAAGTAGTCGAACATGGCGACTTGGGCCATTCTGCGAATCTCGTTTCTGGGGAGTTTCGAGGTGGTGGCTTTGTCGAGTGTTGTTGCTGCTCCAGTGGTGAGGGATCTAGGGTTTATCGAGGGTTGGGGTTTAAAGATGGAGACTTTGCGGGAGACCCAGTTGAGTAGAGAGGTTAATGATTTAGGGTTTCGTGTAAGAGACATTGTTTACCTCTGTGTCTTCTTCATCACTCGTCTCAATTGGATGAACACATACATACAGAGAAATATATGTATATATATAATATTCCATCTGTTTCAATACTTGTTCAAAATAATTATGTGTGAGTTAAGAAAATGATTTGTTGATAATAATAATTTCGTGGTTGTTATAAATTACACTATAGATTGTCATAACCGGAACCTGAACCGGAACTAGATACAGAACCAGAACCATATCGTATCGGTTTATTAAGATTCTAGGTCGGGTAATATTCCTAATTTTTATTGTATTAAGATTTGGTGTTTTTCCTATTCTTTGCTGTATTAGGATTTGTACTATTTTCTTTTCCTACTTAGTTTAGGTTTTCTCTTTTCTAGGATTTTGTAAGATCATCTCCAACCCAAACCTATTTTTTACTCTATAATTCTCACAAAAATAGAGTAATTTTTGCTCTAATGGTTCAGAGTTATTCTATTATAGAAAAGAAAATAAAGGGACATTACTTTTTCAATCTAAAAATATAGTGAAAAAGTAATATCCCTCTATAATTGAGTAACTTTATTTTAAAGTGAACCATTGAAGCAAAATCACTCTAAAATAGAGTTACTCTATTTTTGTAGGAATTATAGAGGAGAAAATATGTTTGGATTGGAGATGCCCTAACTCCCTATATAAGGAAACCTTATGTTAATGAAACAAACACAAGTATTCCCCTTACTTTCACAACACGTTATCAGCACGAAAAGTCTCTATATCCTAAGCTAAATAATCCGACCAGAAACCCTAGCTCCCTCGGCGAGAAGCCTTATCTGTGAGAATCACCACCGCGAAACTCTAACCGGAACCCTAACCTTAATTCTTGATCCAGCCGCCAATCTCAGCCTAATTCAATCCCTATCGAAAACCTTCATCCGCATTCAAGGAGTTCCCGAACTCAGAACGTTCCAATCCACGATCTAAGTCCACCCGATTGCAACAAGCTCGATACGCGACCCGACCTCAATCCACGATCCGATCTCAAGCACATTCTGGTTCCGATTCACGATCCAAGAAGTTCTAGCTCGCGATCCTCTTCTCTTATTCGGTCCATTCAACCCGGCCCAATTGGTGATTAAGGTAATTCTGAAACCCTAATTATAACAAATCAAAACCCTAGAATCGAAACTATAAGAATCAAACTAATAGAACCCATGTGCTAGGATTGTTAGATTTATTGATTGATTGATCCGTTTGAATGTCTTGGGATATAAACCACATGCTAGGTTAATTGTTCTCACACGTTTTAGAATTGATAAAATCCGACTAGCATGTTTTTGTTAAAACCCTAATTAGATCACATTGACTGTTTGCATGATCTGATTGTTTGATTGAGGTTCCATGATTCATGCTTGCATGATTGTTTGTTTACGGATTACATGAACACTTAGAACTCGTATGTTAGGTTTGCATCATAACCGTATAGTAATTGCTCATTAGAAATATCTTGTTTGGTCGATTTTTTTTATGAGCATGTTTAAAATTCTAAGTATAAGATATATGATTTAAGATGTCGAAAATCAACAACTTGAATTTTGGTGCCCTAAATCTCTCAGGAGATAATTATTTACAATGGGCACTTGATGCTAAGATCATCCTGAAATCAAAAAGACTCGGTGAATGTATCACCGAGAGCAATAATGCAACTGAGAAAGATAGATACAGAGCTATCTTGATTATTCGCCATCAGCTTACTGAAGGTCTCAAAGATCAGTATTTGACAATTGAGAATCCTCTAGGCCTTTGGACAGAGTTGAAAACGAGATATGATCACCAAAGAACGGTGATATTACCAAAGGCTCTATATGATTTGAGGATTCTCAGAATCCAAGACTTCAAGTCAGTGGATGAGTATAATTCATCCCTATTCAAGATAGTTTCTACATTGAAACTATGTAGTGAGGATATAGCGGATAAGGATATGTTAGAAAAGACCTTCTCCACCTTTGATATATGGTGTTTTTAGCATATTCTAACAATGTATTCTAAAGTGTTTTTGAGTCTTTATCGAGTCCTTTTAGTCTTTTTTAAGTCATTATAGGTTTGGAGTTGCACTGGAAGGAAGATGGATCACTTGGAGTGAAAGAGGCAGAAAAGTACAAATTGGAGATTTTCATGCGGAACAACCTAGCGGAGCGGCCTGAAGCGCATGTTCCTACGGTAGAGATTTTAAGGAAAATACAACATATTTCGGGATTTGCCATAATTCTCCTATTTTTCTCTCCCAGCCGCCAGCAGCCTCCATATATCTTCTTTTCCTATTTTCTATTAATTTGTACGCTAGTTTTTACAGAAGAAACTAGATTTGAGCTTTTGGAGATTTGTTCTTTCATACCTTGTAATTTTGAGGGAGAAAGATCTTTACAACCTTTGGAGAAGATTTCTAAACCCTCTTGCTTATTATTTATTGATTCAAACATGTTTTCTTCATCTCTAATCTCTGTGTTTTCTCTGTTCATAGTTGAGTAGTCAGCTTGCTTAGTCTAGGGTGTTAGGGTGTTTAGATCCATGAGCTAAATACAAATAAGGTTCATTAATTGATTGTCTCCATTCATGTTTATACTTACTGCCTGCATTAAACTAGCTACTTAGTGACTGATTCTAAGTTTAATCTATTCATCAAAAGTGTTTTAGGTTGCTAGAAATACATTGAATGGGCAGCTCGTCCCTAACCAGCGAAAGTAGATGTTAGGGCGTGCTTGAACTTATCGAATCTATGCTTAATGTTTGCTTTCATGTTTTAGTCAAAACGAGAGTTTAGGTATTAAGGCTGATTGTTAAAAGGGGAGATACCACGAGAGTGGGTCAATCTTTATTTGTCTTTTGAGTTCTAGACTTGTGGTTAATAAAACCTTGAATCGATGTTTGGCTCATGATCGTTTGATACCCAATCCTTCACCCTAGGCTAGCATTCTCTTTAATCTGAAATCCAAATCAACTCGTGTTACTTGCTTTTTACGTTTTCTTTATTTTAAAACCCCATATTGTTTTAGCTTAATATTGATCCTATAATAATAAAGTGTAAAATTTGGTCTCCGTGGATTCGATCCTCAAGTACTACATCGAACCTCTTATTTTAGAGAGTAGCTAGAAGGTTAATTTGAACATATCAAATTTGGCGCCGTTGCCGGGGACCATCTTTTTACCTTTGTTTTTTGGTTATTCATTTAGTCTAAAACCTCTAACTTGCCTTATCCTATTTGTTTCAGCTAATGTTCTAGGTGCATGACCAGTAGACATACTCGGAGCAACACACAAGGAGATTTAGTTACACTTAGCAACCAGGAGCTAGCAAGGTTAGAAAGAACCAATCGACAACAACAAAGGCCGAACAACGCCACAATGGGCGACTACGGCACTCCAGAACAACTCGCTGCTGCTTTGAAACAGATGCAACAACAGATGCTTCAGATGCAGCAGACCATCCAAGCTCAGCAGGATGCTGCTGAACAGGCTGCTCTCGCGCAGCTGGAACAGCCGGAGCAAACTGCTCCGATCAGGCAGAGAATCCTACCGCGTAACATCCCTGCTACGCGCTCTGGCATTGCTCCACCGCCATGTACCAGGCAAGACTTTGAGATCAAACCTGCCATGATCAACCTGGTACAGAGAAAGACGTTCCATGGACTACCAGCTGAGATACCAATGGAACACATCGAGGCTTTTGAAGAGAGTTGCAGCTTTACTCGTGCAAACGGTGTTCCACCTGACTTCATCAAGTGCATGTTGTTCCCGTTTTCTATAGAAGAAAAGGCTTCAAGATGGCTTAAGTCACTTCCTACAGGTCCCCTCACTACTTGGGAACAGGTCAGAGCGGATTTTCTAGGGCATTTCTATACAAAGGCAAAAACGACTGCTCTCAGAAACAAGATCTCATCTTTCAAGCAACTTGCTAATGAGCCATTCAATGAAGCATGGGAACGGTTCAATGACATCCTCAGAGAGTGCCCACATCACGGGTTTGACAATGACCACATCCTAGGAATCTTCTATGATGGTGTGGATTGGGAATACCGAAGTGTTCTAAACTCTGCGAGCAATGGAGACTTCATGAGTCAGACCACTGATGGAGCATTTGAGCTGATTGAGAACATGGCTGCTAGTTCAGCCAATAGGATCCAGGAGATCGATCGCTCCAAGGAAGTGAACAGTGTCGGCACCCAGAAGATTGATGAGCTGACAGCTAAGGTTGATATGCTGCTTAAGAACAACCAAGGGCAAGTCTACATCATGGAGGAAGCTACGGCTGAGCAGATTCAGAACAGTCACGAGGTTTCTCCCGAGGCTACAAAGAAAGGGAACAATCAGCAGGAGGTCAGCTACATCAACGGACAAGAGTATGCGCAGAACAACCAAACACAAGGTGCGAGGTATCAGCAAGGCTTCCCTCAGAACTTTCAGGGTAAAACATTTGTTTTCAGTCAGGCACATAACCAGTTTGTGGGTCAGAATCAGAATCAGCACCAGCAATAGTCGCCGAGCAACCAACAGGCCGCTCCAGCTACTACCAGTGGTCCGGAAGATGAGCTGCAAGGTTTGGGTATGATGATGCAGCAACTGTTGCAGGGACAACAAATTCAGGGAAATGCATTGCACCAGGTTACCTCAGAGATTAACACCAGAATGGACAACATGTTCACTGAGCTGAATACAAAATATGATACTGTGAGCAGCCACATAAAGAGGATTAATGTTCAGCTTGCTCAAACAGCTGAGAGTGTCAAGAGGCAACAAAGGACGCTCCCTGGAAAAACTAATAAAAATCCTAGGGCAGAGCACTGTAATGCAATAGAGCAACCGTTTGCAGAGACTATTCTGGGCGCAGAAGAGAAGACAAAGCAGTCTGCTAGCTCCAGAACGACTGCTCCTGACGAACCTGCTGAGACTCCACCACTTCGAGTCTATGTTCCTAAGGTCCCATATCCTATTCCACCTAGACATCTGAGGGATCCCATTAGTGCATAGGAGCTGGAAGGCTTTAATAAGATGGT